ATAGCAAAAAAAAATGCAACCTCTGATATTGCTACATTTCGGACTGGACCATATGTGCGAAGCAACATCATCACACCGACTTGTAGAAGTATCAAAATATCAACACCAGGATGAATATGAGAAAATACAGAAATTGTTCAGCAAGACACTTCCAGAAGGAAATATCACAAAACTCGAACGGGTTCAAAATTATAAATGTTGGGATACATATGCACGGTAAAATTGTTTTTATTTAAAATGACAATCGCAGCAGGAATGCGTTTAGAAACTACTTTATCATCCTTTAATGCGTATTTAAGTTACTCATAATTTTTATTGCAAATCGGAGTGTTTCTTCCATTTTATCACTTTTAATTCAAAGTTGACACATACTAAAAGCCCCTTTGATAGTTTTGCCAAGGTCCAACAAAACAATAATGCGCATAAATGTACATAAACATGTGCGTTTTTGTCATAGAGCTATTAAACAACTAGAGTGCTGACAAGATGGCGCAGCAATGCAGAGTTATGTATGTGTACCATCCAAGATGGCCGTCGTAGTAAAGCGCCACCTTCAGGCTTAGTATACATATTATTACATATTAATAAGCCCTCTGACTGACTATTATTTCATTAATGGTAATGAGTATTGGTAATAACAAATTATTAAAATTTGTAGCCAAAACGAGGCCAGGTGGAACATCTTATTCAAAAATAAAGTACCAAGGAATGAAAATTAAAATCGTGTACATTACACCCAAACACCGCAACGCTCGAGTTTCAAATATACGGGTAACTAGCTGTACTGAACTTTCTGAGTAAATTGAGGGCGCAATTGAAAACGATGGTGCTTAGCGAAAATTTGATTGGCTAAATCTATGGCAGCCATCTTGGATGGTACACACACACAGTTCTGCGTATTTCGAACATCGAATACATTGCGGTTAGTGCTCTAGTATTCTTATTATATCTCTATGGTTTTTGTACAACATGTGTACATGTACATCTCAGATTATCTTGTTATTGCTGTTAATAATTGGTAATAACGATATATTTTTTTGTTTCAAAAAAGGCAAAAAGAAGTCATGATTAATAAGAATGGCTTTGATAAAGAGCTTCAACTTTTCCATGGCACCACAGAAGAAAGTGTTGACGACATTTGCCGCGAAAATTTTGATTTCCGTCTGAGTGGAACGCGAGCTGGTGCTGTTTATGGTCAAGGTGCGTATTTCGCAAGAAAAGCCAGTTATTCTAATCACTACGCAGGAGCCGATGCACACAACATAAAAAAAATGTTTGTAGCACGAGTTCTTGTTGGTAGGTACACCTTTGGAACAAAGGACATGCGAAGACCGCCGTATGTAGATCCTTTGGATAAAACAAAAGGAATGTATGATTCTTGCGTCGACAACGCAAGTGATCCAAATATCTTTGTGATATTTGATACCCAGCAAGTATATCCAGAATATCTAATCACATATTTCATACAACGATTTCCTAGTAGTGGCAACCACCAGGCATCAAATCAGTTTAACCCATTACCTTCCAGGCAATCTTTAAGAAGTGTGGTTGGTGCCAATCAAACTGTGTATAATACCAACCAGCAATCGTCAAACCCTCCTAGTGCCCAATCACCCCATAGTAGTGTCAACCAATCTCCAAATATTTGGCCTTCGATACAGTCAATAAAAAATACACTTAAAAACATTAATAACTATAGTAATGATGCTTTCACACACTTACAAATATTCTCATTGTTTTTGTTATTCATCATATCAATTTCAGTATTATTATTTTATACTCCATCTTCTATTGTTGTTACATATCTATTATTTTGCTTATTGACATTCGCCGTGATTTATATAAAGGAGATGAATGTCTGGCCAGTGTCTAGGATTATGATAATACTAATACTATCATTTTTTTTATTATTATCATTAGTATTACAATTATTTACGTATGGGTTACAAATATTCTTGTCATTTTCTTATAATTATTTTTCTATATATATACTGTTTTCCATTTTTATATCCGCCATGATCTACGCAAATGAAATGAAAATTGATGTCAAGTTTGTTTGCAAGTGGGTATTATTATCAGAATTATTAATAGTATTATTGTTACCAGTAATACAGTTATTTCTATATTTATTTATACTATTAACTTCATATTGTTACAATAATTTTGGTATATTGTATCTTATGATTTCCATGGTGAGGTTTACCATTTTATATACAAACCAGAATATGGTTGGAGAATATAAATATAAATGTGGTTTAATATCAGAATTAGTCATGTTATTAATGTTACCAGCTTTACCATTATTTCTTTATGTATTACGTATACTATTATTGTGTTGCTATAATAAGTTTGTTATATATATTGGCTTAATGTTTTTAATTTTGATACCTGCCGTGATCTATGAAGACAAGATGAAAATAAAGGACAGGCATGTGTGTAAGTGGGTATTAATATCAGAATTATTAATAATTTTATTGTTACCAGTATTGCAATTATTTCTGTATTTGTTACAGATATTAGTATATTTTTTTGTTTTTATATTTCTACTGGTTTCCATTTTGATACCCACCATGATCTTAAATCTAGTTTGCATGTAGTAAAGTGTATATTATTGTTATTAATTGGACAGTTATAACACACCTAAATAGATCCTTATCATTTGATTGGTGTATTTTGTATCACGTGATATTGGTTGGTTCCATCCTTGAATTTTTGTTCCATTAATTTTGTCCCATTGCACGCACTCTGCAACCTTTTCATTTTCTGGACGATGGACTGTTCTATTCAGAAAAAAGGTAGACTTAACTAAAATTGCAATAGACCTATGTATCTTGCCTTTTTTCTATATTTTATAGGAGAGGCAAATTCAAGTTTTAATCGCCAAATTAAATACTTTGTATTAATTATCATTTCCCATGAAATGAGCTAATTTCTGAATAACCGCCGCCGACACAGAATTCATAGACAATTTCATTTGAAATATTTCGCCCATTCAGTTTATGACCCTCATGGTCTCAGCCAACTTACACTTGACGGTGAAGTCGTTCACGCTGGTCAGTTCTAGCATGTATGGGTATTCTGGATCTAGATTTGGATTAATTATATTCCTAGACTCGCATCGCATCAGATGATTTCTAGCGTTTGTGGCCACTTCTCATATCAGGCGATAGGCCTACCTACTATACCAAGATAAAACAAAGAAGTCGCAGTGCTAAATCAAACATACAACATACTAGTCAGGGGGAACTATATAATTCCGTAGGGTTTTGATGAATAGAAGGACCAACCTGTTTAGGTATGTTGGTTAGGTCCCAAATAACACAAAAAACATGTTGGCAACTTGGCGACAGACGTCCCCAATCTTGAATTTAAAAATGGCCGCTATTTTGAAAGTAAGTGCCCATATCTTGACAACCGCATATCACAGTAACTTGATTTTGGTCTCAAAGTGTTTGTAATACATAAGTTTTACTTACGAACATCTAAAAGCGGACAAAAGCTCACATATTTTTAAACACTTAAATAGTTCCCATAAATGTAAGGACTTTTGTAACGAAGGCTGCTTCAAAATAATATGTTCTGTTAACAACACCCCTTATCAACGACTAATCAAAGAAGCATTGTATATACTGACAGTTATATATATATATATATTTCTTTTTCGTATTCACTAACTAGATAATTGCTTCATAGTATTTTGTTAATTTTTGATTATATTATAATAGGCCTATATTATTTATAGTATTGTATTTTATATGTTAAACTGGATGAGTGAAGTTCACAGACGTTTTGTTATAGTGATTAAGTTCGCCGCCCGCTAGCTTATATAATTTGTTGTAGGCCTATTTGTATTCTGTATATTGTGGCGAGTAAAGAATAAGAATGCTTTAATACTATAATGTGTTAGTATGGCATGTGTGATAGTGAGATTTGCATTAAAAAAAAATTTTTTTTTGCTTGATGAACTGTGATGTTTTGTATTTCTGTCTTTCTCTTCCCCATATTGGGTTATTTTTTCTGAATAATTGAAATTGAATTAAGTCGGTGTAACAATGCAAAAACTATTTTTAAAACATTGAATTGCTCATTCAAAAGTATCAAAAATAAATTATAGCCCGGTCCTCATGAGAACCCTAGTATCCGGATCGGGAGCTAACCGTTAGCACCTACGTGCGAACGCCTGATCGATTAGCGCTAACCGTTAGCGGTATCCAGATACCGCTAACGGTTAGCAAGCGCTATCGGTTAGCAAGTGAGCGCGTTTCTATCATCAACCAATCACACGTACGTGTTTACAATTTCCAGTTTCTTATTGGCCAGTGATTCGATCATCATATTGTTGGTATCTGGATCGGGATTTTCTCGTATGGACACACGGCAGCTAACGGTTAGCAGGATCCGGATCCTGCTAACCGTTAGCTGCCGTGTGAGAACATAGCCTTCGATTGAGTTGGTTTACTAATTCTTTTATTCCGAAAGAATATAAGAACTGTATTGTGGATTCATGTGTTAATTGGCGAAGAAAATGGACATTTCTGCTAAGCACCACCCGATGAATATTGTTGCTAAAGTCCCACAAAATGACAGTGTAAATATTTACGCAAAAACGTGGGATCGACAATGCATGCGTTAAAATTCTTGCCAATCAATAACTCATTTTATTATTTTTTTTTTCAACCTCAGAAGGGTGAAGTGAAGAGGCACTCTGAGCATCACCTAAAGATATGTGTAGCTGCCTCAACGTAGCAGCTTTAATATGCTGATCAAAAAGGACACTGAAACGATTTTACTGGCTTCGGCTGTATCATTTATTCTATATTTCTTGCCGTCATATCAAGCCGTGTCGTAAAATTCGGTTCAGGTGTCACTGCATCAAAAATCAGACATATCAATGAGAACATCAATCATTCAAAAGTTTTGATTAATTCAAAATGGATGTTACTGCCTAGCAACCTTAGAGCGGGCGCTATGACCACAAACATATGTATCGGCATCCGATACAGGGCTCCCTTTAATTTCAGGTATGACACATTTTTGTTTTATTATTTAGTTTAATTAGAGTTTTTTTTTTTTTTTTTTTTTAATTACAAGGGTAACAGAATACATTTTAACTATTTAGAATTTGACTTAATCAATAGTGAATAAAACATTATTTTAAAGATGGCCACCATAATATATATATGAATATATAGGCATATATATATTTATATATCATCTTGACCAGGCATGACTTTGGTTACACGTCCTAGCTCCCAAGTGCTTCGGGCTGCGCCTTCGTCCATCACCATAACAACATCTCCTATTCGCATATTTCGTCTCGTCACATTCCATTTTTGCCTGCTCTGTAGAAGGTGGACGTACTCCTTGCGCCATCTTGACCAGAAACATTCGGCCAGGTGCTGGACTCGTCTTCACATTTTCCTGCTATAGCGACCATTTGTATTAAAGTTGCCCGGTGGAGGCGGTACAAAAGGCTTCATCATGAGTAAATGTGCTGGGGTCAGTGGCTCTAAACTAGCATCCTCAGTGGTACATAAGGGTCGACTATTTACAATGCCCTCAGCCTCGGCCATGAAAGTTATCAACATCTCATCATTAAGTTGTGCCCTATGTTGTAACATAAGTGCATCCAAAATACTCCTTACTGTTTTTATCATGCGCTCCCAAACACCACCGTGGTGGCTTGCTGTCGGGACGTTGAAAAGCCAATTGCAATTTAAGTGAAGCAGTTGAGACTTTAAGTCTTCTTGATTCATTTCAGTCATTGCTTCACGTAGTTCTCTTGAAACACCGATAAAGTTGGTACCCTGATCCGATCTTAATTGTTTAACTGCACCTCGTCTAGCTACAAGTCTTCGAAAGGCGTTGAGAAACGAGTCAGTGGACAGCGAACTGGCAACTTCTATGTGGACACTACGTGAAACAAGGCAAGTAAATAGTACACCGTAGCGTTTCTCCAACTTCCTGTCATTCTTCACTTCGAAAGGTCCAAACAGGTCTACACCACAATGTGTAAAGGCTGGTGCAGGTTCTAGTCGATCGGGCGGTAGGTCTGCCATTCTCTGTGTCTCTGGCTTCCTTCTTAATCTACGGCACAGTACACAGTTATGGATAAATCTGGCTACTGATGACACTCCACCAATTATGTGAAAACCACCAGCTCTAATGGCATTTAATGTGATACCTCTACCTTGATGGTGCGTCACTTGGTGATAATGAGTTACTATTAAACGTGTTAGTTCAGATTTGCTAGGGATCACTACTGGGCATTTAATGCTTTCAGGGAGACTGATTGACCTCTTTAGTCTTCCCCCTACCCTAATAAGGCCATCTTGGTCCACCACAGGATCTAGCTGGGTCAACTTATCAAGTTCCTTATAGTGGTTATGCTGAGTAGCTTTTACCATCAGTTTCTTGGCTCTGTCAATGTCCTGAGTTGTGAGATCTCCACTTCTTTTCCAACCTCTGCATTTGTATGAGAAAACAATACATAGAGCAAGAACTCTGCTTGCTCGGCTCCAGCTGGAGTATCGCTTTAACATCTCTGGAATCGTTTGTACACTAACATGGGTGGCCTGAACTCAGGCATTTGCTCATGACAAGTGATACTCTTACAGTTCCATCTTCGTGCACTAGTCTTAGGTACGAACACTGACCATATCCTGAAGTGGATGCATCACTAAAGTGGTGAAGTTCAACAGAAGACACCTTTCAAGTTGCATTAGGTGCCTTATAGCATCTGCTAATTTTAATGTTGCTGAGGTACTGAAGTTCCTCTTTCCAAGCTATCCAATGTTGGATTGTATCGTCATTTAACGGTTCGTCCCAGTCCTTTCCTTCTGCACAGACGTTCTGGAGGATTCGCTTCCCCTGTAAAATGTAGGGACCAATTAATCCAAGTGGATCAAACACAGCAGACACAGTCGATAGAATGCCTCTTCTTGTCGGAGGATTCTCTTTCATGTTGCCTTCAAATGTAAATACGTCAAGAGTAGGGTCCCACAGTATTCCCAAAGTACGTTCTGTGGGTAGATTTGTAAATAAAATTTTAATTAATTCTAGTGTAATATCAAATTTAGGCCTTATTAATTTTTATTGATGTTGTTAACCTGTTTTAGATGTTATGCATTCGAATATTTTAGATATGTAATTCAAATTTAGCCAATTTGTTTTAAAAAAATTTTCATTTGTTGTTGAGTGCAATCGTTTTAATTAGTTTATAATTGTTTTTTATGTCGAATTTTGTTAATATTTCTCAATTCAGCCTTTGTGTTGCCACGAAATATGTTTCGATGTGAATAAACCAGAATAAAATAAAATAAAGATTACTCAAGTCCTTCTGGCTGACATTAGATGCGATGCAATCATCTGGTAGTGCTTTCAAAACCTGCTTTGAATTTGAGAGGAATTCATGCAGTTTGAATCCTCCCTCCTTCAACATGGCTACCGTCCTCTGGATTAGGTCTATTGCCTCATCCGCTGTCTCAACTGACTGCAAGCCGTCATCCACATAAAAGTTGTTTTGGACAAACTCTAATGCATCTTGGCCATACTTGTCTGATAACCGTTTTGCTACATCCTTCAAACTGTAGTTGGCGCATCCCGGAGATGATTTAGCGCCAAATACATGCACTAACATTCGAAACTCCTTTGGTGCTTTATTAACATCACCACTTTCCCACCATAGGAATCGTAGGAAATCCCTATGTTGTGGGGCTACTCGGACCTGGTAGAACATGCTTTTAATGTCACCTATGAAGGCAATTCTTTCCTTTCGAAAGCGAAGCAAAACTCCTATCAAACTATTCATTAAGTTGGGCCCTTGAAGTAGTACATCATTCAAGCTAACTCCTTGGTATCTTGCCGCACAGTCAAGTACCACTCTTAATTTTCCAGGTTTATGATTATGGTAGACTCCATGATGGGGTAGGTACCAGCCAGCATTAGCAGTCTCCTCTTCTGGTACAGCTTCCGCCTGGCCCTCATCTACAAGGCAGTCATTGAATTTCTTGTATTGTGTTGCGAACCTTTCTTTCTTATTAAATTTACTTTTCAGACTCTCTAATCTCTTGAAGGCTACAACTTTGTTGTCTGGAAGCTTGGCCATATCAGACTTAAAAGGGAGTGGCAACTGCAAGTGACCATCAACAACTTCTTTGTTTTCATTTAATATTTTCATGAATCTCTTATCCTCAACTGAGAGCGCTGCACCGTCATTCTTTAAGTTTCCCAGGTCGACGAAATCACTTTGAAGTGCCTCTATCACTTCGGATACTTTAGTGGCAGTCCTCAAGGATGTTGTACACAACTTCGATTCTCCATGCTTGCTCATACCTATAACACCCCATCCAAGTACTCTTTTCACAGCATACGGATCTTCATCCGAAGCACCGGGAATCACGTCTGTGGGTGTTAAGGCTTTGGGACAATTAGCACCAATAAGAAGCCCTACCGGTACATTTAGGAGTGGACTTAATTCAGATTTAAGATGCTGTAAGTGAGGTCTTTAGGTGAGGTGAAACTTTAATGTTGTCTGGAGTAGGAATCTGTGAAACTATCACTGGGATACTCTTCCTGGTATATAAAACTGGTACTTGCACGACGTCAAAATGATTCAATCCTCTTATGGTCACACCCTGAACTCTTACACATCTAGATGTGTATAAGAGACAGCCTCAAGGATGTTGTACACAACTTCGATTCTCCATGCTTGCTCATACCTACAACACCCCATCCAAGTACTCTTTTCACAGCATACGGATCTTCATCCGAAGCACCGGGAATCACGTCTGTGGGTGTTAAGGCTTTGGGACAATTTGCACCAATAAGAAGCCCTACCGGTACATTTAGGAGTGGACTTAATTCAGATTTAAGATGCTGTAAGTGAGGCCAAACTTTAATGTTGTCTGGAGTAGGAATCTGTGAAACTATCACTGGGATACTCTTCCTGGTATATAAAACTGGTACTTGCACGACGTCAAAATGATTCAATCCTCTTATGGTCACACCCTGAACTCTTTCTGACCTCACCTTGCCAGCAGTCAATACAGTGGATATTTCTAGGTCTACACTTGTTCCATTTGCTCCAAGTTTCACCTTCAAGTCATCTGTCAGGAAAGAAGCATCCGACTGCTCGTCAAGTAAGGCA